TTTTTTTTTTCGACTGTTCTTCATTCATTGATTGTTTATCTCTGTTAGTAATTCATTAACTAATATTTTTGTCATTATCTTTCTTTTCGCTTCATCTGGGCGCTTCGGTCGTTCGTGTTATCATTGTACTGGCAGTTTCCCTAAAGTTGCCTTGGAGTCACTAAATAAGTTTCCCTAAAGTCACTAAATAAATAACCGACCTTGGAGTTTTTCTCCTCTTGGAGTCTTTCCCCTCTTTTTTTGTTCCAGTGGAAAATGCTAAATGTGTCATATTCTATACGCCATTTGTGTGATTCTCCAGCTCAGTTGTTAGCGGTTTTCTGCACTTTCAAACATAACGGCCATCATTTTTAGGAAAGAATATGCTTGGAAGTATTTAGGAGTTTTCAAAAGCACTTAACATTTTTAAAGTATTCAGTACTATAATCCCGTACATATTTTTCTCCTTGTTCTTTTTACATCGCGCATGAAATTTGCATAAGAAAAGTTCTTTGGCAAAAGTGTGTTGTGGACAAGTGTCGTGAAAAAGAGGACGAAAATACTGCAAAATGTACTGATTGCGCGAGCGAGAAGAATGATCTTTTTTGTCCTGGAATATCCAGCCCATCATTCTGACTGTTTTATTCCGCCTTCCTTGCGTTATAGCACTTGTAAAATTTTTTTTGCACAGCTCGTCGATGGCAATTTTGCAAATTGTCCTGGGAAAAGTGGCGTGCTGGTAATTGGACAAAAATATGTACACCTTTGAATGACTCCTAGAGTGCGGAATTCTATTTGCTTGATTCCGAATACTCTAAATCCACAGCCAGGCATGGAAAAAACAAAAATATTCTAGAAGGCTGGACGGTTGCACAATGGCTCTGCTGATCCCAAGTGAACGCTGCCCCACGTCTTACTTTCCTGTAGGGTGTGAAGGCCACGGTTTACAAAATTCACTGTATGAGTGCGTTTAAAATAAAAGACAGGGTTCTGAAAGTACCGGAACCAGGTCAGAGGTCAACAGGTGCTGATGAAAGAAAAGTGACAATATCTGGACAAGCAATAAAAAAGTCCTGGTTTACTCCCTCATCTCACACTTCGCCTTGTACTTCTTTCCGTCCGCCCTTAAAGGACTAGAGGTTGCTTCTGATTTTCTTTTGAATTTGGATATCGGGATAGGCCGCTTTCATCTGCAGTCTCCTTCGCCCGTGTGTTGAAAATTTCGCAAACTGCACTTTTCAACCAGATAAAAACCGATGAACATTGAGAACCAAAAGTAGTGGTCAAAGACAAGTCAGTACCAGTTTGCCATCGAGACGAACATAGCTTTTGTCGTAATTTCGATATCAGAGACTATGCACACCACTTGCTGGTTGTTATCCGAATTATGGCTGATTTCTGAACATTTCTGGCATTGCTTTATTCTTGAAGGTGCAAGCTCATCAAATTGCAGTCCTGGATTCTCAGGCTAAAATTTTTCATTGTTGCTTAGCAAGCACCAACTGTAGGGAGCAGTGCGGGTGAGATTTTATTTTTATGAATCCTCCCTAAATTCGATGAACTGCTACGTAAAAACGTGCCGTAGTAGTCGAGAATGGGGCGGGATGAAGGAGTAGTAGCTAGGAATCGTTTGTAACCTACGCCGATCCAGTGTAGGTGGCCTTGCGCGTTTCCACTGCTTAGGCATGGCCCCTTCGCAACAAATCATTCAGTGAGAGTGAAGAAGGCGTTTGAAGCTTTTTATTGATGCTAATGCTAGATGCCGCTGTTGGTGCAGCCGTTGGCGCAGCCCCCTCCGGTCGGTTTCCCATCCGGCGTCTCTTCGGGATGGGTAGTGGGCCTGCCGCGACACAACTGTGTTGCTCATTTGATGATCCGGCAATACTTGTCGAGCCAAATCCTCATCCTGCCCCACCCTTCTTCCTCCTTAAGCCTCCACCCTCATCCGTATCGCAAATTTACATAGAATGCTTGTGTCGTGTTATTCGCATTATCATCTGTAACTGCTCATTACTGGCTAATTAGCTGCGATTTGAGGTCAAACTAAAAAGATGAAATTCGACGAGTTGCTGTTCAAACATCTTGGCGAATTTGGACGTTACCAAAGAATACAGTTCACGTTGGTGTGCTTGCCGATAATATTTGTCTCGATGCATGCGCTCTCCTGGACATTCACTGCTGCTTCAGTTCCACATAGGTACGTAGTAATTCTTGTTCCCCTCATTCCATTTTCAGCTTTCTAACAGAGCGAGCGCACACATGCAGCAGAATTTCTGTTCCTGTCACTGTTTGTAAATCATACGAGAGCCATTTGCTGTTGTTGCTGCTGCTGCTGCCGCTGCTGCATCCTGGCATTTAAGGATGGAACTGGATAAATCAATAAAATGAATTCGTGTTGTGTTCACGAGCCAAGGCACTTTAAATAAATAAGTTACTATGAGGCAAAAGGAGCATAAGGATTTTTTAAGCGGTAAACATATTGCTAGGAAAAGCAAATATGGAACGCGTTACACGCAGGCACACATCCATCTGTTTATCCATCCGGAGGGTACAATGGAAGAATAGGGCTGTCGCTGGAATTGCTTGCTGTTTTGGACATTTTACAAGAGAAGGATCGGTGAATCCACAGTCATCGGCAGAAAAAAAAAAAGAAATTGAAACAGATGGAAGGGATGTTGGGAGCAGGAGTGAAGTGGTTGCACCGGACGGAAATCGAAGTTATCATCAAAACACCGTAGAACCGCATCGAAGTGCAATTTCAGTACAATTCGCAAAAATAAGAGTTGAATAATAGCTACAGAGCAGTTATGTGATGTGTTCTCGAAAAAAATTAGGCAGCGGCATTCTAAAATAAGAGGTTGCTGCTGCAGAGCAAAGAAAGCGCCATGACGGTTTTGAAAAATTGTTCTTCACATTCAGTCATTGAAATCATCGTCATGTTTCCTCGGAGCGAATTCCAGGATTGGAAAATTGTCGATGTGGGTGCCCATACATTTTTCAAAACAACACGCTACAATGGGATGGAAAGAAATTAGTTTTTGCACAATAGAAGTTTCAGAATAAATTTGTTCAATGTTGTTTCCAGGTGTCGCTTGGAAAGCGAAGAGGGAACCCGTGCAAATTATTGGACGCATAGCAGTTTGCTTCTACCGAGTAACTGCACAGAAAAACACAAAGGCCAATGCAGATACCAGGAATGCCGGCTGCGTAACGAAGCAACCTGTCACCACGGATATGTCTATGATTTATCCAGTATCAAATATTCGGCCATTAATCGAGTACGCCTTTTCCAGACAGTAGTTGTTTGGCTGGAAAAATTAAGAAACTGGATCTGGACGTAGTGAGCATTCTAAACAACATCATGTGTGGGTTGCGTCGGAGGACACTCAAACTATTACAGCTAGCTACACTTTTGGAAGTCTAACCACTGAGATGATAGTTGTATTGGCGGTAAATTGATAGCACTGGTTTCGAGGAGTAATGTCACATGCTCACTGCTGCTTCTTCGTTTAGGTCAATAAATCAAATTACTAATAAAACTAATATTCCAGTGGGATATCGTTTGTGAAAGAGCGGTGCTGAAGGCACTTATCCAGTCAACGTACTATATGGGGCAGATGGGTGGTTCGCTTCTGTTCGGCTTTCTCGGTGACAGGTATTTCCTGGACCATATATTTTAGCCACTATGAAACTCGATAACTTATAATTTTGCTTTTTAAAATTGTTTTGCACAGGCAGTGTGGCGTTGCATTGCAGGATTGGGCGAAAAAGAGTGTTTTTCATAGCAATAATCACATTAATAACATCTGGTATCCTAATGGCAGTGGTACCATACTGGGCAGCATTTGCCTTATTACGTGCCGCCGTCGGTTTTGCGCATCCTGGCATTTTTGTAATCGCCGTTGTTATTGGTCTGTTTTTTGGGTTTTTCAAACATATTCAGTGAATGTGCTTTCGCATCTTTTCCGTAACATTTCTACAATAACGATGTTCAAAGTTGCACCGTTAAGTGGTCAGCTTGCTGACGATCCCGACCTTTTTTTGCCTGTTAGAAACATCAGCAGGTTGTTCGTCCAAAAAGAAATACTTGCTTCTCTTGGTTGCTTTTGTAGTATGTCAGCTCGCTTCCTTGCTTGAGGTCCTACACGCACCTCCACAGTGGGCATCAACTGTGCAAAGTATGTTAGTGGGAAGTCGTGGTCGAAAGGTGCTGCACTTCGGGCATTCAGACGAACAAACCACTGAAGACGGCAGTATCATCTAGTAATGTTGCTAATAGAACACTGAGTGATGAAAATGTTCCAAAAATTTTTTGTTGCAGTTATGGAACTGGTTGGTCCATCGAAGAGGAAAATCGCATCAGTTATATCTGGATTGTTCTTTTCGTTCGGGCAGATTTTGCTAGGATGTCTTGCCTACTTTATTCGTGACTATCGTTATCTTCAGCTTGCAATTTCTGTGCCGGTAGTGGTGTTCCTGTGCTATTGGTGGTAAGTACGAATCGAAGTTTTCTGCTCTTCAGCTCCTTGCTTTCGGGAATCTGGTTTCTGTACGCTGGTGTTGTGAGTTACAAGTTGTCCAGAAAATCACTCCTCCTATAATTTGATTATTTTCTGTTAAAATTTGGTACTAGGATGATAGGCCACCGACCACTTTTTTAAGTTTCAGTAGTTCCTGGAAAAGTTGTTGACAAACTAATACGCAACGGTAGTGCTGAAACGTCTTTATGAACGTAAATTAATAATGATGTAAGCAAAGCATCCGGCGTTGCTGCATATTTTCAGGCTTGTTCCCGAAAGTGCAAGGTGGCTGGTTACACAGAATCGTTATGAAGAAGCTGATAAAATTCTGCAGCGTGCAGCAAAAATTAATGGTGCGGAACTACCGGAAAAATGGTGGGACCAAATTGATATTCCAGAAAAGTCGTCCGGCAATCGTTCTCCTCAGAGGAAGTACAATTATTTCGATCTTGTACGCACGCCACGTATGCGATTACGCACATTCGCATGCTTTTTCTTATGGCCGGTGAGATTTCTGTTTTAAATTCTTTTATTTCCTGGGCAGTCTAAAAAATTTTCTGGATGACCACTGTTTGAAAAAAGGGGGATTCTCGAATAATTTACAGATTTGCAGCAGTTTCACATTGTTTTTAGGTTGTCTCAATGATTTATTATGGTGTTTCTATGAAAACTGATTTTCTTGGTGGTGATTTCTATGCGACATTTATTATCGGAGGTGTTGCGGAAGTGCCAGCCCTGCTTTTACTATTCGCATTCATCGATAAGTTCGGACGGAAGCCGTTTTTTGCTGGAGGCTACTTTGTTGCTGCAGTGTGCATGCTTACGAATCTGTTGCTTCCAGCAAAAAGTAAAGAATTTTTCTGGATGTATAAGTTTTTTTTGAGGTGTAAAAATGTACAGATGAGAATGAAGAGAGGACTAGAAAATTGGTGGGAACAGTTCCATTCAAGAACACTTCAATCCCGTAATTAAATCTTGCGCTTCAAGTTTCATTGGTGTTTCACATTTCAGCACACTGGTTTGTAAGCGTTGCTCAGTTTTTGCTCACGAAAGCTGCAATAACTAGCTGCTATGCAGCAATCTATACAGCAACTCCTGAATTATACCCAACAGTGATCCGTAATACGGCGATGGGCTGTTGCTCGATGATTGCCCGTGTGGGTGCCATCTTGTCTTCTTATATCGCAATGTGGCTGGTATGTTATCCTTCTTGAAAATTTACTAGTTCATTAAGCTTATCCGCGGCGTTTATGAAAGCAGAGAGGCTACTCGGGCAATCGTTGTGGTGATCCGATGCAAAAACAGAATGCAATTATACTAGACCTTTTGGCCCTGAACTGTTGCTAGCTGTCACATACAGTATGCAGATCAGCTATTGTAGGTTTGCAAATGTAATAAATACTTAGAAAAGAATTGTCTTTTTATGCATTTTCAGGTGGAGCAGTTCGGTGCCTGGGCCATGATCATTCCGTTCGGTAGCCTTTCACTGGTGGCTGGTCTCATTGTGATCTTTTTCATACCGGAAACAATGGGTAAGCCTTTGCCAGAGACAATCGAGGAGATTGAAGAGGGCAATACACCGGCCAATGAAGAGATGCTAACATTGTCGAGCGCGGCGGCTAAAGAGAAGAATGGTGTTGAGTGAACGACGCCGGGAGTGGGAGAGGACCAGGGTACTGTTCTGAATGGTCAATGTTTGCACGAACTTTGAAGAACACACTTCGCTGCATCTGACCGTACTTTTGAATAAACTGCTGTCTTCTGTGTTATCGTATAATGCTGGAGGCAGTGCGTACAGAAAAATTTCTTTCGATGCGCCGGTGCCACTGGCTCCGTTTAATGTGTAACTATAAAAATTCGGCTTGACCGAGTCGGAAGACGAGTTGAGATGACTAGAAAATGGTGGTGGGAGAGAGGGTGACGATCGGGATGGTGGACTAGGTCTTAGGAGTTGTAACGAGAATTCGGGTTATTGACTGGTAAAACTCTGGAGATAAAAAATGGGAGCAGGCGCGAGGTTTATGGACGAACACCCCTATGGGTTTTTTATGCTCAGCATGAAACTTAGGGCTAAGGGAAAATGGCCACCCAATATGCGCTCATTTTTGAGTTCGGATTTGAATGGCAAAAGTCGTAAAATCGAATTTTCTTGTCTAGGTGAGGTCTAGGTGTCGCGCTCAAGACAGCCAACTTCCCCTCAGCACTAAGTTTTGTGCTAGGCGTAAAAGGTCAGAGAGGCATTTCCCTTCCCCCTCTTACTCTGCCACCCATAATCCCCACTCCTGCTCCTAATTTCTATCTTCAACTAAGGTCTCAGTTTCTTTCCGGTTAATAACTCCATCCGCCCTTACCACCCCCCCCCCCCCCCCCCCCCCCCCCCCCCCCCCCCCCCCCCCCCCCCCCCCCCCCCCCCCCC